ACCCAGCGGAGCTCGGACAGCTCGGGCGAGTTGGCTGAAGTATGAGCCTCGGGCTGCAAACCTCCGCCGACACCTGTAACAAATTGTAGCTCATACGCAGACACAGATTTGCCCCGGTGTTATCCCTATAAATTGACTGGGAGCCCTCTAGCGGTCTCCCTTGTCTTCTGCTGCAGAAGCCACCAGACCCTGTCAGAGAAACAGTTTAGGTAAGTAGCCAGACGCTGTACGTCTTCATCCAGATATTTGGAACTCAGGTTTCTCACCGTGTGGTTTCCTTAATGTTGACTAAAGAGCAACACTGTCAGCACACGGCCATACTGTCTCAGACCAAAGGTCCATCTAGCCCAGTGTCCTGTCTCCCGACAGTGGCCAGTGCCAGGTGCCCCAGAGGGAATGACCAGAACAGGGAATCACCGAGTGATCCGACCCCTGTCACCCAATCTCCTCTCTCTCGCGCTCGCTGTCTCTCTCTCTGGAATGTGGTTCTGGCCCTGCTTACACACACAGCAGTGAGTTTGTCTGTTTCTTTCTCTCTCGCCATGTTCCTCTGCTTACACATACAGTGAGTTTGTTTCTTTTCTCTCGCGCTCTCTCGCTCACTGGCTCTGTCTGTTTAGCAGGTGCCTTTTCGCCCTGCCCGAATTTTCCAAAGAGCCTAAGGGAGTTAGGCGCCCAACTCCAAATTAAATTAAAAGGGAAAGTTTAAGCGCTAAAGGGAGACCCGGTTCTTGGAGGTATTTCTGGAAATGCTCGTTGTGTTTTGGAGAGACGGCAAGGAAGGTGTTTCCCCCCTCATAGTACATCAGCCCGATAAACACAGGACCTTGGCCAGAAAATACGGTCTCCAGGAGACGTCGCATGTCAGTGTGAGGGGCTCTGAGACCTTCCCCACCTCGTGGCCCGACTCCACCAGCTGCAGGTGGGAAAGGGGGCCTGCAAAAATGACAGGAGATACCCAAATAATAATATAATGCTCCCCACTCCAGGGAGCTAAAGATCTGGCTCCAAGCGCAGACTCCTTCATCTAAATGCTCTCATGCAAATATGAACCAACACAGCTCCTCACACACACAGGTGCAAATGTAACACTGACAGAGCCCGTGGTTGGAACCTGGGACCTCTGGTGCTTAGTGTATGAGCCTCTACCCCATGAGCCAAAAATCATGTCTCTCTTAGCTAAGGGTGTAGAGCAGACTCATTAATCAAGTGGTCTTGGTGCCCCTAGATGGGACCGATACCACATCCAGGAGGTGTGTGGGTTACAGAAACCCACAAATACTCTACCTCGCCAGGAAAAACTCACACATATACACACACACACTCCCTCCCATGGGCCAGAGCTAGCGCAGCCAGGAAATATCAGTCGTTTGTCAGAGGGGCCCCCCCCAGACCCTCAACTCCCCAGTTCAGCTGTGGAGCGGACAGGAGAGTCTGTTGCAACCTCAGGTCCAGGTTGGTGGTTTCCAAATCTGCAAAACTCCTGTAACAAAGTCTCTCTCGTCCCATTCACAAGCGCAAGTGTTTCCTCTTTTCTGCTTCTCTGCAGCTTCGTTGGTGCCTCTGACTAAGCGTCTCCTTCAACTTAAAGTGACCGCAGAAGGGAGCGGACCGCAAGAAAAAATTCAGATGCCGTTTCTCCGGGAGGCGAAGCCTGTAGCTCGCCCCCTTTTTGTCCCAGACCTCCCTGTGCCTCTGTCACTGTGTAGCTCCTGCCGCAGTAATAGGTGGCGGTGTCTGCAGCTGTCAGAGAGCGCAGCGTCAGGGAGACCTGGTTCTTCGCAGCGTCTGCAGAGATGGTGATCCGGCCTTGGAGAGACGGGGCGTAGCCTGTACCCCCGTTATATGCGTGTATGTATCCCATGGATTCCAGCCCTTCTCCAGGAGGCTGACGGAGCCAGTACCAGTAGTAATACTGACTATTGATGGAGAACCCGGAGACAGCGCAGGTCAGTGTGAGGGGCTCGGAGACTTTGCCCACCCCAGGGCCGGAGGCCACTAGCTGCAGCTGGGAAAGTGCACCTAGAAACAAGGGTAGGGGAGTCCAAAATAATCATTGAAAGTGATGCCCAGAGAGCAAAGGCTTTTTCTGCCCCCACTCCGGTCACAACCACACACACAGAGAAATGCAAACAGTCACACACAGAGAGACAGACACAGACTCACACGGCGCCAGGGCCAGCGCTAGGAAGACACATTTAATCATTTGGAAGGTATGAAAAATCTCCAGTTCAGCCGCTGACCCAACGGAGCTCGGACAGCTCGGGAGAGTCGGCTGAAGTGTGTGAGCCCCGGGCTGCAAACCACTTCCGACACCTGTAACAAGTGGTAGCTCATAAGCAGACACAGAGATTTGTGCGGGTGTTATCCCTCTAAATAGTCTGGGAGCCTCTAGCGCTTTTCCTTGTCTTCTGCTGCAGAAGCCACCAGAACCTGCCAGAGAAGCAGTGTAGGTAATTAGCGAGACGCTCTACGTCTTCATCCAGCTGTTCGGAAATCAGCTCTCACCGTGTGGGTTCTTAATGTTGAATAAAGCTCAACATGGGCATCACAGGGCTATAGTGGGTCAGACCAAAGGTCCGTCTAGCCCAGTATCCTGTGTCCTGACAGTGGCCAAAGCCAGGCACCCAAGAGGGAATGAACAGAACAGTTAATCATCAAGTGATCCATCCCCTGTCACCCATGCCCAGCTTCTGGAAAACAGAGGCTAGGGACACCATCCCTGCCCCTCCTGGCTAATAGCCATTGATGGACCTATTCATTTTTAACGCTGGAAAAGAGTTACTTAGGTTGATTGTGCGTTGTGTGAAGAAATACTGCCTTTTGTTTGTTTTAAACCTGCTGCCTATCAATTTCATTGGGTGACCCCTAGTTCTTGTGTTATTAGGAGTAAATAACACTTCCCTATTTAATTTCTCCGTGTGTATGTGGATCCTTTTAATCTCTCATACACTGACTCTGTCTGTCTGTGTCTCTTTCTCTTTTCCCCGCACCCCCTGCTTGTGATCTTGGTTGGGATTTCCAAAGTTGCCTAAGGGAGTTAGGCACTCAAATCCCAATTAAAACCCCGAAAGAAGTCAGACTCCCCGAGCCTTTCACCACCTCTGAAATCCCCAGCCCCTCTCTGTCTCTGTTCCCCACCGATTCTTCATCTCTCACCTCTTTCCCACACACTTTTACAGACCTAGACCCTGGAGAGCTTGAAAAAATTGCAGTTTAACTTTCCTTCATTCTTTAAAGCAACAGATCTTCCGTTGCTCTAAGAGGGGTTTTCTCATGGTAAAAACTGATGTGCACTTGTTGGCTATGTTTGTTGCACGTTTTGTATCGATGCTTTCAAATAAATTGGGTACCCCTAAAAGAGTCGCAATGAATTTAAATAAAGAGTCAGGATCACATGTTGATTGTGTTGTGTTGTTATTGGTTAGTGTTTGTTGCGAAGTGTTTGAAAACTGATTTCTGTGTGTTGGGAATTGATTTGTGTGTAGTCCTTTGGGGGTTATTTGTCGTCATTTCCTAACCCAGGTGTCTGCTCCCAGCACCTCCCAGCCTAGACCCCGGTGAGAAATGCCCCAGCGCAGCCTGAGACCGGCCTGGTGCAAATCTCTGAATAGTAACAATGGAGTCAGTGGGGGGCAGAGGTTCCCGCTCCCTCCCGCACGTCAGTGTAAAGAAGAAGTAATTTCACTGCAGTCAATGGGCCTAAATTGTCTTCTTAATCAGTCTTGTGTAAAGCAGAACTAAAGTCACTGCACTCAGTGAGGCTGGATCATGTCTCATTCCCCATGGTGTTCGGCAGGACTAACTCTGCTGGTATCATGGGGCTCCTGTCCTTTGGGGTACTCGTGTGTAAATTAGGAGAGACTGTAGTGTGCACCCACTGTTCCCGAGAGGAGAATCCGGAGCAATGGAGCTACTCATGGAGTAAAATACTACTGGACATGAGTAATGGGAACAGAATCTCACCCCGTGCTAGCATTGCCCTGCTTTGATACAAACAAACAAAAAACAATGTAAACATTTAGGGCTAGATCACGAGGTCGTGTGTCTGCGTGCAGTGCTAATGAAGTCAGCCCGGCTACGCTGAATGACACCGCCCGAGAATCTGCCTCTTTCCAGTTCCTTCTTTTTTAGCAAAGGACTCGGGCTAGATTTCATGAAGTCTTTAGAACGTGATGATGCAAAGTAGGCGCCTAGTGGGATTTTTAAAATAGCGTAAGAAGGTTTGGCACCTGACTCCCATTGAAAATAATGGGACTTAGGCACCTAGCCCACTTTTTTGGTATCGAGCTACCTTTAAAAATAGGACCAGTGTTTTCTTGAAAGTCAGGCATATGTAGGGTGAAAACTCCTCAAACACACAAGACACTTCAAAGCTATTAATTGCAAGACAGTTTTATTTTGGTAGGGTCTTCCATTCAAATTCTCATCCCCTAAAATTGTACAGAGCACAACAATAGGATAGTAGCTCTTCAGATCATTTTCCTGTCTCCTAATGTTAGTTAAGAAAACAGCAGGCAATCGGGAAACCACAGATTTTCAGCTGGAATTTAAAATGTAAGAGAAACGCCATGTGGTTTTCACAGATGACCAGAGCTGCAGGTGCAACTGAGAGCTGCTAGATCTCTGTCCTTCAGAGCTCTGCTGCCATCATTTGCTCAATCGTGGGTATAGCGATTGCTGTCTCATTCCCCTACCTGCGTTAACAACTCCCGGTCATTGTACAGGGCACTGCATGCTCTGACTTCCTGACCCTTTCCTGCTTCCGCGTGGTCATTACACAATAGACTTATCTGTCTCATTCCCCAGGTTCTGCTGCCCTCTGGAGACCACTGCACCAAGGAATTCATGTTCACTCTCGACCATTGCAGACTGGTGGCAGATTAGCATTGGAGTCCAGATCACCTCCCTCCCTGTCCAGTACGGTCACCAATATCGGATAAATACACTGCAGCTCAAAAGACACGCTGTGGATCAAACAAAGGTTTGTCACAGAAATGCCTGGGATGTGTGTCATGCAGAGAGACAAAATGTTCTCAGAATGGTTTTTCCGGCTTCAGAAGTCTGTGACACTGTCCGCCATGTGCCTTAAGACACGAGTGCTCCGGCTCAACATTGCTTCTGGATGCAGAACCCACTGGGTGGGATGGTCTCAGGTAAGGGTCCTTTCTGCCGTTCAAATCCACGGGTCACTATTCTTGGCATTTTTGTAACACCTGAAGGGTCCCAACCAAGATCAGGGTCCCAGTGTGCCGGGTGCTGCCCCTACGCGCCACAGGAGACAGGCCTTGCACCCAAGAGGTTTCACTCTAAACAGACAAGCCAGACAAAGGGAGTCACTTGCGTCACTTCACCTTGGTTCTGTTCTAGGCTGTGACACTGATCTACGAATTCTCCCGATTCCCACTCTGGTGGCCTAACCTGCAACGATGCTGCTACTGGAGCACAAGTTGATTTGAACGACACACCTTGAAATTGCAGAGACCAAAGCCACAAATCCCTGGGTAAAATTCTGCCTTTGAAGAGGCAGCAAAGCAAGGCCTGTCCCAAGGAACCCGTACTCTGAGCACTGGTGTGAGAGTCCAGTGATGCTTGGCCCCTCTACTGGCCTTATGCCAGGGGTGACGTTCATGCAAAGAGAAAAATGTGTTAAGTGAGAGGAGGCCAGTTCCACGAGGGATGTTGTAGGAAATGAAGCCAGGCAGCAACCACTGTGCATGGCTGGCACACGAGTAAGTAGCCGTGTTTGCAGCTGTGAGACTGTTTATCTTTAGCCTGACACTGGCGCCGCTGGTGCGTGGGGTAACCCGTCCTTTGAACTCATCCACGCTGTAGGGGGTGTAACCTGTTCTGAAGGCCGCTAGCCAGACAGGACTTTTCCCAGGCGCTTGTCGGCTCGAGCTCAAATGGTGGTCATTGATATTATACCCAGAGACGACACAGTCCAGGGTATGGGAACTGCCTGGCTCTGCCTGGGCAGAACTCGCCTGGGTTAAAGTGATCGCGGCCACGCAGCCTGTAAAAGGAAC